CTAAATATGAGTATGGTTTTAATGTCCCCTCTTCAAGTTCCTGCCTTCAAAGCTGCCCGAGAGATTCCAAGTTGCCAGTGTTGGCTGGTATGCTATACCTCAGGCTCCAATCCAACCTTTGGCCTGTTTTGCCTTTAAACTCTCTTTCCCTCCCTTCAGCCCTTTCCTCTTTCTCGTGATTAAAAAGCAGAACAAAAAAGAAACAGATAATAAAAGTTCAGGGCCTCCACTTGGGTTGAGTATCTGTGTGCATGCGTGGCAGAAGAACCCACTAGCGGTGAGGGTGGAGGGTGGCCATTTGGCTCAGGCTCTCCCTCTATTCACCAGAATGGAGGTGGGCAAACAGTGAGCACCAATTACCTACCAGATACCAAAGAAAATCGAAACAAAGCAAAACTGACAAAGTATATTGTCCGCCTTTGTCCCAAGGTTCCAGCGGCATTTTTCCGTGGTGTTTCTGCTCCCCCTGTTAAATCCCACCTCTTGGTCTCGCCCAGGATGTCAGCTCAGGCCTCCAAGACTAGCCCGGCAGATTCAAAAGTACGTGATTTTTTACTTCAGCTCCAAACTCCACAAGCTATAAGCCTTCAAACCTTTAAAATATTCCTATCTCTGTGATTCCGAGTTTTGGAGCTCTGCCCTAGATCTGCTTTGCCTGGTATTCTGTGTTATGGCTGATGGCGAACTTCACTGCCCCTCCACCCTAGCCGCCATCAAGCCTCACTTCCCCAGATTATTTTGAGAAGACTCAGAATTCAGTGAAACAAACAATTGGCATGGTTTCCTTGTCGGATTCTCTACTGCCTTAGCTGTTGAGTGGCTGACAGCTCATTATTGGGTTGGACCATTTACATTGCCAACTGATTACCAGGCTCTGAAATGGGCTCCATGTCTTTCTAGCCATTACTAAAGCCAGGCAGAGGTAAACTGCTTGCAATTTCAAATTGGCAAATGTAATCAAGTCAGTTTCCAGGTCCTCATAAGAGAATCCCCTGCTTGTGTTTGGGATGCCCATTACTAAGTCTGTCAGAGCCACTCTAGAAGAATAAACCAAAGGCAGTTGTTAGTGCCGTCAAGTTGGTTCTGACTCAGCAATCCTGCATGGGTTTATGAGGAGCGGCTAGTAAATTTGAACTGCTGAACTGCAGCCCAGTGCATTGTACTACAGCGCCACCAAGTCCAAATGTTAAAGGAGATTGGGAAGAGAATTCCAAACGAGGACTTGGAAGTTCTTGCTACAACAGACTGGAAATACAGGAGGAAAAGGTATGGACTGGGAGTTAGATGGTCGGGTTGAATCTTGACCCTGCTTATCCCTATATTTGGGCAAACTTCATCTCTGACTTGAGAATTGTTATCTGTAAAATTACTAGCTTGATACTCAGAGGAGGCAACTGGTTTTCCTTTAAAGTTTCTGAGGAACTTTTCAAACATTTCCACTTTCTTCCCCTTGGTTAGCAGTCATGGCCATGAGGAGCCACTGTTACTGAAGAAAATATTGCACATTCTTCTAACGTGCTGGGCTGTAAAAAGATTAGAAGCCATGGATAGGTTGATCTCAGGATCTTTCAGCTAGATCAAAGGACTAAGACAAGACTGCACTCCACATGTTGCAATCTTGGACACCACGTTAAATTTGGGGGGCTTGTTTTCCCTTCAAAGTTAACCTTGGTTTTACCAGGGGACAGGATTTGAAAAGCAAACACAATGTGATTTGCCTTGGGTCCCCTAATTGTATATAGGGTTATTGTAAGATTTCTCTAAGACCACAAAATCAAAACTCACTGTCAAGTTGATTTCAACTCAAAGCCATCCTGTATAGGATTTCTGAGTCTGTCAGTCCTTACAGGAGAAGAAAGCCTCATCTTCCTCCCACAGAGCAACTGGTAGACTTGAACTGTGATTAAAAACAATTTTTTTTTTTAATTTAAAAACTTTTCATTGTGAATCGAATGAAGGTTTACAGAACAAATAATCAGTTTTACATTCAGCAAATAATATACTTTGCTTCATTACAATGTAATTTCCATGAACTACCAATCTCAGGGTTAGCAATCCAATGTTTATTGTACAGCTATGGTGCTACATGTTAATGTACTGGACTGTAATGTTGGTTTGAACTACAAGATCAGTGGTTCAAGCTCGTAAGTTGCTCCATGGAAACCTTATACAGGGTTGCTATGAGTTGGAACTGACTTGATGGTGCTTAACAACAACAAACTAGGGTTCCCTTCTGGGCCACAAAGGAGACTCCAAAAGAAACCATTTTACATTTCCTATGTAGATGCCTCAAGCATTGCTCAATTATGTAGACAGTCACCATTATGTGTCCAAGTGACAAGGTCCTGACTATAAGTCACACCAGGAAAGAAAATGCCGAGAATTAGGTGGCATCATGCTGGAGGATCAAGTGAAAAACGAGATTTTAAAGTACTTCATGATCTCTAACCTAGTCAGATTGTCCATACAATTTTTAAGCCCCCTGAAGTCATTCTAAACAAAGGTAGCTTCATTTAACTTGTACAAAGTTGTCCTTGGTAA